GCAGACAGATTAGCCCTAACAATACCTTCTCCTTGGTTGATGAAGAAGATGGTAAAAGCATAGGCCGAACAGGCCCCAAAGCCCTCCGAAAATCAATTCCCTTTTGGGAAGAAATGGGCCAAGCCTAGATGGTCCACCCACCTTTAAGTCTCCATAATAATAATGGGCCCCATCCAAAGGATTTTTGGTACCACTACCCCCAAAAACTCTCAGCCTTTCTTCATGGTTCATCTTTCTCAAACCTAAGGAAACTAGACTTTGGCTTATGAACACTGATATGCAGCCTGGATGGCCCATCCACCTTTAAGTCTCCATAATAATAATGGGCCCCATCCAAAGAATTTTTGGTACCACTACCCCCAAAAACTCTCAGCCTTTCTTCATGGTTCATCTTTCTCAAACCTAAGGAAACTAGACTTTGGCTTATGAACACTGATATGCAGCCTGGATGGCCCATCCACCTTTAAGTCTCCATAATAATAATGGGCCCCATCCAAAGAATTTTTGGTACCATTACCCCCAAACACACTCGGCCTTTCTTAACGGCTCATCTTTCCCAAACATAAAAAAACCCTAATTTGAATCTGGTAGATTTTTCTATTAAACTCAACATCCAACGATATCGTAAGGACACTACCCTTCGGCTTATGAAAACGGATATTCTCCTAAAAAAAATTCTCACGATTCATTGTTTGACAGTCAATTTTGATGACCACACAATTTTCCAATACGTTTCCCGGTGCCATAAGTGAAACGGTAGCCCCTCCACAGCAATCCCCCCTCCTAGAAAAGATGCTTTGCTGCAAAACTTGTTGGAATCAGGACATCATTCTTGCAACTTCACCATTATTGATCCCTCCAAAGTATACTTTCAATTTCATCAACCTGTTTTCAATCTTGGCAGAAGAATATTGCCTTATCAGTCTGAAACACATTCAACTTCACATCAAAATTCAAGACGATTGACAAAGCTCTTTGAATCTCTCTCCATGGATGAAAAAGACTTTCTTTAATGTATATTAGTGCACTTTTCCATCTGTTTTCTTCTTTTTGGAATTTTTCATTAGCCACCATCTTATTGGAAGCCTTTTCTACAGGCCCATCTCCCTTCACTACTCCCTTACTTTTATTCTATAAAAACAGAGCATTTTTTTGACTATGTAAAAATCCATCCAACATTCTCCCAAATCCTCCCCAGTCCTTTCTATCATCCTCTTCATGAACAATAAAGCCCTTTCTCCTTCCATCGTTATCAACTTGGAGATTCTAACAAATTTTCCAAACAGACTATCCTCCACTTCAACGTAAACACAACTCCTTCTCTCCTCCCAATTTCCACTCTTACCATTCCAACACAAGACTTCAGAAAAAACAATCGTTAACATTTGAATATTCGATTGGTTGAAACAACAGTAGAATTCAACTAGTTTGGGTGTCATGTCCTCTCAACGGCCTGCACGCCCCTGTGTTGAGGGACAAGAGGAGTGGGGAAACTTAATTCCAAAAGGGGTTTAAATTTGTCGCCTTTCATAAAGTTCAACAATGAAAGGGGATATTACATTATCTTCCTGTCAAGAGGCATCACCTTTGAGCAACACCTAGGGCTTATGAGTCTTCGTTGAATACTTGAATCATCAAAGCAAGTCTGTAAGTTCACTCAGACCCAAAATATACGCAGTTCCTAATGTGATCTCCCATAACACAATTTTTCTTTTCTCCCTCTCTAAATCTCTCTCTCTATATAAGTACATATTTTTATATATGCCTTTATACACACTAAATTTTTGGTTCTATAGAATCTTTGTTTTTCTTCTCTGTGATTCTGTTTTAGTTTCCTTTTCTTGCAAGTGGCCAATGATCCTTAGAGTCACCATAAATTTTAATCTTTCGAGTGACTTATATGCTCTCCTTCACCCGCTTCTCCTCCTCTTCTTTCTCCTTCTCCTTCCTTCTATTTCTTCTCTTTTCCTCTTGCTCTTCCTCCTTCTTCTTCTTTTTCTTCATTCTTCTCCTCCTCCATCCTTTTTCCTACCGATTTTCCTCTTTTTCCATCTCTCTCTTTTTGCTCTCCTGCTCCATCTCTCTCTTTTTGCTCTCCAGCTCCTCTCTCATTCTTTTTATTCTTCCTCCTCTTCTATTTTTCCTTCTCCTTCATCTTCTGCATCTTTTCCTCCTTCCTCTATCTTTTGTATCTTTTCCTCTTCTATTTCTCCTTTCTCCTTTATCTTCTGCATCTCTTCCTCCTTCCCCGGCTTTTCCTCTCACTTCTCATCCTCCTTTTTCTCCTTCTCCTCTTGCTACGTCTCCTCCTCCTTGTTCTAGTTCCTATTCTTCTTCATTTTTCTCCTCTTTATCCTTCTCCTCCTCCCAAGGAATGTTAACTTTAAGGGGAGTTCAAATTTGTGGTCTTTCATATAGTCAACAACTAGAAGGGGCTATTAAGTTATCTTCGGTCAACTAGAAGGGACTATCACCTCTGAGCAAATTGATGGGTGTTGATCTTTCGAGCGATTTTTCTTCTCTCCTCCTTCACATGTTTTTCCTCTCCTCCCTTTCCTCATCCTTCTCTTTCTCGTCTCTCCTTGTCGCTTTCTCACCTCCCTCATTTTTTCTGTCGATTTTTCTCTTTCTCCTTCTTCTCCTCCTTTTCTTTTTCCTTCTCCCTCGTTCTTCTTCCTCCTCTTCTATTTCTCCTTCCTCCATCTTCTGCATCTCTTCCTCCTCCTCCCCCGGCTTTTCCTCTCACTTTTCATCCTCCTCCTCCTTCTCTTGTTACTCCTTCTTGTTCTTGTTCTTCTTCAGTCTCCTCCTTATCCTTCTTTTTTTCCTCCTTTTTTCCAGCTGATTTCTCTCTTTCTCCTTCTCTCCCCGTTCTCCTGCTCCTTCTCCGCCTTCATTCTTCTTTTTTTTCTCTTCTTCCTCCTCTTCTATTTCTCCTTTTCCTTCATCTTCTACATTTCTTCCTCCTTCTTCACTTGTTTTTCCTCTTGCTTCTCCTTCTCTTTCTTCTTGTTGGAGTTATAGAAGCCTTGGTTATTAGGGTTTATTAAAATGTTTTCTTTTTTTACCTTTTTATCTTTATTGTGACTTTTATTGGCTATATATATGGGGGCTCTACACTTAGTTTGTATCCCTTTCACTCACATCAGAGCCACCAACCCTAACTCTAAGTCTAACCCTAGCCTCCGCCAAACAAGCAACACAACGAAACCACCCGGCCATCAACAAGCAACACCAAACCAGTCTCCACCGGCGAGCACCCAGTGACAAACCCACTGCCCACAGACATCCTCCACCAACACAGCTTCCACAAACAACCCAACTAGTTCCACCGACAAACCACCAGCGATAAACCAAGAATCAAACTACCCAGAACCCAACCCAGCGACAGCCTAGCCAACATCAGCAGCAACCCACAAACAACACTAAATCAGCCTGCCACCAGATCACCGACAGCCACAAACCACCTAAACTAAACCAAGAATCAAACCACCCAGAACCCAACCCACTGACAGCCTAGCCAACATCAGCAGCAACCCACAAACAACACAAAATCAGCCTGCCACCAGACCACCGACAGCCAAAAACCACCTAAACCAACTACACCATATAAACCACCAACCAACATAAACCACCGACAGCCCAATAAACCAACTCCATCAGCGAGACAGCCCAATAAACCAACGAACCCAGCAAAATCAGTAACCCAACACAACTCAAAAAACCTAGGCTGCTATAACTCCAACACTTCTGCTCATCCTCTTTCACTCTTATCCTCCTCCATTTTCTCCTATCCTTATCCTTCTCCTCCAACTCCTAGGGAATGCTAGCTGTAAGGGGAGTTCAAATTTGTGGCCTTTCATAAAACTCAGCAACTAGAAGGGGCTATTACGTTATCTTCCAATCAGGAGGCATCTCCTCTGAGCAAATTGACGAGTCTTGATCTTTCAAGTGACTTCTCTTCTCTCTAACTTTTCCTCTTGCTTTTCTTCCTTCTCCCTCTCCTTCTCCTCTTGCCAATCCTCCTTCCTCAATCTATTTCTCTTCCCTTCTTTTTCCAATCGATTTTCCTCTTGCTCCTTCTTCTCATATCCTTTTCCTTCTCCTCCCTCATTCGTCTTCTTCCTCCTCTTCTAGTTCTTCTTCTGCCTCTCTTCCTCCTTTTTTCCCTGCATTTCCTCTTGCTTCTCATCCTCCTCCTCTTTCTCCCTCTCCCTCTCATTCCTTCTGTTTCTTCTCCTTCTCCTCTTGCTACTCCTCCTTATTCTTATTCTTGTTCTTCCTCATTCTTCTCCTTCTCCTCCTCATCCTTCTCTTTCTCCTCTCCTTCCTATTACTTTTTCTCCTCCCTTCTATTTCTAGCCGATTTGCCTTTTTATCCTTCTCTCCCTGCTCTCCAGTTTTCCCTCAATTCTTCTTTTTCTTCTTCTGTTTCCTCATTTTCTATTTCTCCTTCTCCTTCAGCTTCTACATCTCTTCCTCCTTCTTCCCTTACTTTTCTTCTTCTTTCTCCTCCTCCTCCTCCTCCTCCTCGTTTCTCTTCTTTTTCTCCTCCCCCTCCCCCTCTTTCTTTAGTCGTATCCTCCTCCTTTTTCTCCTTATGTTCTTCTCTTCCTAGGGAATGTTAGCTTTAAGGGGAGTTCAAATATATGGCCTTTCATAAAGCTCAGCAACTAAAAGGGGCTATTTACGTTACCTCCCAATCAAGAGGCATCACCTCCGAGCAAATTGATGGGTCTTGATCTTTCGAGTGACTTCTCTTCTCTCCTTCTCATTCTTCACCTACTTTTCCTCTTGCCACCGTTCCTCCTTCTTCAATCTTCTCCTCATCCTTTTCTTTCTCGTCTCTCTTTCTAGTCACTTTTCCTCTTTCTCCTTTTTCTCCTCTTTTTCCTTTTCCTCCCTCATTCTTCTTCTTCCTCCTCTTCTATTTCTCCTTCCTCCATCTTCTGCATCTCTTCATCCTTCTCCCCCTACTTTTCCTCTCTCACTTCTCATCCTCCTTCTCCTTCTACTTCTTGTTCTTGTTCTTCTTCAGTCTCCTCTTCCTCCTTCTCTCTTTCCTCTCTCTTTCTTCCTCGTCAACCTCTTGATTCCCCTTCTCCTCCCTTCTTCCTCCCAATTTTCCTCCTCTTTCTCCTCTCCTGCTCCTCCTTCTTCCTCCTCCAACTCCATCAATTTCCTCCTCCCTCCCAATTTTCCTCTTCTTTCCCCTCTCCTACTCCTCCTCCTCCTCCTCCTTCTCCTCTCTCCTTTTTCCTTATCCTCCTCCTGTTTCTTCTCATTTTTGTCGTCGTCGTCCTTCTTATCCTTTCTTCTTATTTCTCCTTCTCATTCTCATTCTCTTCCTTTCTTTTTTTTGCTTTTTGTCGTCGTCGTCCTTTTGTTTTTCCTCCCTCATCCTCCTGCTCCTCCACCAACGTCATCTTCTTCGTCCTCTCTTCTACGTAAATTTCGAGCAGTATTTAGACATAGAGGAGACAGTTTCTTCTTCTCCTCTTTCTTCTCCTCCCTTTTTTCCTCCTCCTTTTCCTTCTCCTTCTAATTGTCCTCCTTATTCTCCTCTCTCCTTCCTCTTGCTCTTCCTTTTCCTTCTCCTCCAACTCCTCCTTTCTTTTATGTAAATTCAAGCAGCATTTAGGCTTAGAGAAGACAACTTCTTCTTCTTCCTTCTCCCCTTCGTCCTTCTTCACCTTCTCCTCCCCTTTTTCCTCCTCATTGTCCTATTTATTCTCCTTTTCTTTCTCTTCCCTCCTTCCTCTTGTTTTTCCTCCCTCATTCCTCCTATTTCCCCTCTCCTACTCCTGCTTCTTCCTCCTCTAATTCCGTTAATTACCTCATTCCTCTCGATTTTCCTCCTCTTTTCTCTCTCCTGCTCTTTCTCCTAGTCCTCCTATTTATTCTTCTCATTTTCATCCTCCTCCTCCTTATTCCTTCTCCTCTTTCTCGTTTTCCTCCTTTCTCTTTTTTGTCCTTTCTTCCTTTTGTTTTTCCTCCTCTTTTGCTTGTCCTCCCTCCTTCTCCTCCTTCTATTTCTCCTTCTAATTTTCCTACTCCTTCTCTTTCCCTTCTCCTCCTTCCTCATTCTGCTTCTTCCTCCTCCTCCAACTCCATCATTTTCCTCTTTTTTCTTCCCGATTTTCCTCTGTCTCTTTCCCCTTTCCTACTCCTTTTTCTTTTTCTTCTTCCTTCTCTTCCAGCTGCTCCTCCTCTTCCTTCTCCTTTTGCTCCTCCTCTTTCACCTCCCACCTTCTTCCTCCTCCTTCTCCTCCCTCTTGTTCCCCTCTCATGCTCCTCCTCCCTCCTCATCCTTCTTCTTCTTTCTCTTCCTACTCCTCCAACTCCTTATTCCTTCTCTAACTCTTCATTTCTTCGACGTCAATTTCGAGCAGCATTTAGGCACAGAGGAGACAACTTTTCCTTCTCCTCCCTTTTTTCATCTTCCTTCTCTTTCCCCTCTCTTGCTCCTCCTCTTTCCTTCTCCTCTTTCTCGTTTTCCTCCTCCTTCTCTTTCTCCTCCTTTCTTCCTTTTATTTTTCCTCTTCCTCCTTCCTTTTGCTTTTCCTCCCTCCTCCTCCAACTCCTCCCTTCTTCTACGTAAATTTTGATCAGCATTTAGGCATGGAGGAGACAACTTCTTCTTCATTCTCCTCCTACTTCATCTCCTTCTCATTGCCTTTCTTCTTCTCCTCCTCGTCCTAATCCTTCTCCACCTCCTCCTCTACCTTCTCGTTCTCGTTCTCATTGTTCCCCTTATTCTTCAACTCCTCTTCCTCCTATTTCTCCTTATTTTCCTACTCTTTTTTCCCTTCTCGTTCCTTTTCTTCTTCCTCCTCCTCCAACTCCATCAATTTCTCTTTTTTCTTCCCAATTTTCCTCCTCTTTCCACTTTCCTACTCCTTCTTCTTCCTTCTCTCCTCCCTCCTCCTCCTCCTTTTCCTCCCTCCTTCCTACTCCTCCTCCTTCTTTTCCCCTCTCCTCCTCCCCAACTCCTTTCTTCGACATCAATTTCGAACAACATTTAGGCACAGAAGAGACAACTCCTCATTTTTCTTCTCCTCCCTTTTTTCCTCTTCTTCCTTCTCTTTCTCCTCCTTCAATTTTCCTCCTCTTTCCCCTCTCTTGCTCCTCCTCCTTCCTCCTTCCTCCTGATTTTCCTCATCTTTACCCTCTACTGCTCCTCTTATCTCCTCTTTTTTCCTACTCTTTCTATTTCTTCTTCTCATTTTTGTCATCCTACTTCCTTCTCTTTTTCGTTTCCTCCTTCTCCTTCTCTTTCTCCTCCTTTCTTCCTTTTGTTTTTCCTCTTCCTCCTTGTTTTCCTTCTTTCTTTCGCTTTTCCTCCGTCCTCTTCCTCTCCCTCCTTCCTCCTCCAACTCCTCCCTTCTTCTACGTAAATTTTGATCAGCATTTAGACATAGAGGAAACAACTTCTTCCTCTTCATTCTACTCCCTCTCTTTCTCCTCCCTCCTTCCTCTTGTGTTTCCTCCTCCACCTCCTCCTCGTTTTCCTTCTTGCTTTTGTTTTTCCTCCCAACTTAGGGTGTCCATGGGCTGGGTTACCCACGGGTCCCGTTACCTGGCCCAAAAAAAATAGGTCTGAAACTCGATAGGCCCGATAGTTGGCCCGCCCAAGTCCGAACTCAATATCCTTAAAAAGAGGGCTAGAGTTTGCCCCCAAACCCATTACCTGGCCCAATAGCCCGCCCGAATAAACCCGTTAAAACTCGGCCCAAGAGCCCGCCTGCCTACTTTTTTGTTTGAAAAAAAATTATATTTTTAAACCATTAAATTTGAAACTTTGAATAAGGCTCCCAATATCGGAATTTAAAATTTTAAAAATTTATATATTATAAATAATGTATTAAGCATTAAAGTTCTAAATGGTAGAATAATAAAAATGATAGATAAGTGAGTAGATGCCAACCTGGTTGGGATGTATTCATTCTATTGGATGTAGTTCATCTTTTAATCAAAAATAAAATTATTCATTATTTTATTTTTATCCATTTCGACTCTATTTTTTATTCAAATATATAATTTACACAAATATTAAGTTACAAAAATATTCATTATTTTTAAATGAAGTTGTATATAAAAAAGTTCACGAGCAGGCCCGCTTAATAGGCTCGTGGGTTAGGTTGCGGGTAGCCTATCCTTACTCGAAGCCCAACCCGGCCTGCCCGATAACTCACATGGGTAAGGGCCGGCCCATGGACACACCTATCTCTCCCCCTCCTCCAACTCTTCCCTTCAACGTAAATTTTGAGCAGCATTTAGGCATAGAGGAGACAACTTCTTCCTTCTTCTCCTCGTCCTTCTCCTCATTTTTTTCCTCCTTCTCCTTCGCATTATCCTCCTTACTCCCCTTCTCCTCCTCTTTCTCCTCTCTCTTTTTTCCTCTTATTTATCCTCCTTCTCTTTCTCCCTCATTCTTTCTCCTTTCTTGTTTCTTCACCCTTCTCCAACTCCATCAATTTTCCTCTTCTTTCCCTGCTCCCACTCCTCCTCCTTCTCCTCTCTCCTTTTTCCTTCTCCTCCTCCAGTTTCTTCTCATTTTGTCGTCGTCGTCCTTCTTATTCTTTCTTCTTCTTATATCTCCTTCTCCCCTTTCCTTCTTTTTGCTTTTCCTCCTCCTCCTTGTTTTCCTTCTTCCTTTTGTTTTTCCTCTCTCATCCTCCTCCTCCAACGTCGTCTTCTTCCTCCTCCCTTCTTCTACGTAAATTTTGAGTAGCATTTAGACATAGAGGAGACAGTTTCTTCTTCTTCATTCTCCTCCTCCTCCAACTCCTCTCTTCTTTTATGTAAATTTCGAGCAACATTTAGGCTTAGAGAAGACAACTTCTTCCTTCTCCTCCTCGTCCTTCTTCACCTTCTCCTCCCTTTTTTCCTCCTCATTGTCCTCGTTATTCTTCCTCTTGTTTTTCCTCCCTCCTTCTTCCTCTTGTTTTTCCTCCCTCATTCCTCCCAATTTTCCTCCTATTTCCCCTCTCCCGCACCTTCTTCCTCCAACTCTGTTAATTTCCTCCTTCCTCTCGATTTTCCTCCTTTTTTCCTTCTCCTTCTCCTCCTCCTATTTATTCTTCTCATTTTCGTCCTCCTCTTTCTCCTTCTCCTTCACTTTTTCTCCTTCTTTCTTCCTTTTGCTTTTCCTCCTCCTCCTCCTCCTCGTTTTCCTTCCTCTTTTGCTTGTACTCCCTCCTCCTCCAATGTCATCTTCTTCCTCCTCTCTCCACCTCCAACTCCTCCCTACTTCTACTTAAATTTCGAGCAGCATTTAGGCATAGAAGGGACAACTTTTTCTTCTTCCTCCTACTCCCCCTCATCCTCCTTTTTTTCTGCCTCCTTCTCTTTCTCCTCCCTCCTTCTTCCTCTTTTTCCTTCTTCCTCTGCGAACTCTTCCTTCTTCTCCTCCTCTTCCTCCAACTCCTCCCTTTTTCTACGTCAATTTCAAGCAGCATTTAGGTATAGAGGAGACAACATTTGAATGGTGGTAAATGAAAAAGACACAATTTTTTGCTCGAGAGAAATCGCAAGACTTTCTACAAATTCTACTACAATGCCGATATTTGTAGATGTAGACATAACTCCTGTATGACCTCGAGAGCTTTGTCCACAGATGCAACAATAGAAACTAATGGAGCAGAAGTGGATGAAGCAGAGGTCTCTTGTGGTGTATGAACCTAGAATTGTTGCGGGTGAGTGGATGGTGATGCTTGCCAAGTATGGTAATCAAATAATTACTTACATCTATCTTCAGTCGATATGGTTATTTTGATGAAAATAATAGATTTAGGTATATATTTATCTGAAAATATTGAATTTTAAGAATTTAATGAATTTCTTCCAATCTAGGTTGGTAAATTCCTTGTTATTGGAAATTTATCTTCCTGGCTTGTATTTGATAAATCATTATCATGCTTCTTAGATGGCTGGTATTAAATAGTGTGTGTACTTTGCACGAGTTGGAATTGGTACATTAAGTAAATTTGCTACTTATTGAGGTATCATTTATGGAGGGACATAAACTTCGGTTAAGGCCTGTAAAGCAACTTCAAGATTTGGAAAGCAAGAATAGCAATTGTAATACATCAAACAAATGATGCTTATTGTAGATAGGACTTATTGTGTCATTATAGTTTTGTTTTCCTGTAAAGGATATGCTGATTGTCAGGTGCCTACCTTGAGAGACCTACAGGGACTCTATGATCAGCTGGTTGAGTCAGCTGATGCCTGCCGATTGGATTGGCATGCTACTTCCAAGAAAGCCGAGAGGTAATTCTTTTTCCTGACCACTATTTTCTGTCATCCTTTGATCGCTCTTTAACTCATTTTCAGGAGTAGGTGGTTGAGGTCCCGTTTCATGCTGCAATCTTCATACTCACCCGTGTGAAAGGACTTTATCTTTATGGAGGAGGGGGCATAGGAAAAACTATGTTGATGGACTTGTTCTTCGATCAATTGTAGATATTAGAATTAATTAATTCAATGGGTTTGCCCTCCACCTGGTGTGTTTAAGTTGAACACAGATGGGGCTTCAAAGAAGAATCCAGGTATTGCAGGAGGAGGTGTGGTGTTGAGAAATGAATAGGGGAAGGTAGTTTTAGCTGCCTCTTACTTATATGGTGAGTGTCCAAATACAGTTGCAGAGTTCAATGCTTTGTTAAATGGGCTGGAATTGGTTAAACAATATGGGCTTTTTGCTTATAAAATTCTGGTGGAATCTGATTCTTTAATGTTGGTTAATGCTGTGAGTGGTAGGCGTGGATGTCCATGGGTGTTGTGTCTATTTTGAGACAGATTAAGGTGCTTTTGTCTATGGTGGAGAGTATGAATTGAGGCATGCCTACAGAGAAGCTAACATGGAAGCTGATCGATTGGCTAATCAGGCAGTCTGTGCTAGAAGTTCTGTTGACTTTTCTGAGTCCTTGAATTTGCCTTCTGCTGTAAGCATGGCTGTGCTGCAGGATGTTAGGCAGATTCCTATTCTGAGACAGAAGAGGGTTTTGGTTTTTGATGACAAAGGGTGATGCTGTTTGCTGCTAAGAGCTAAGGTCGCTGGCTGCTGTGCTGGTTACCAGACTGCTTTTATGAGGGACTTTGCTTTTTTTGCCAAGCCTTTTGGCTTTTCTTTATGTTGAGGTTTTTGTTTTGTTAAAGCAGGGCTTGTCTGCTTTTCCCTCATTGTAAAGCTTGGTCTGTGTGGCTGTTTTGATTAGGCAGGGTCTGTCTGCCTTTTCCTTTTTGAGAAATGGAATAAAATGTTGGTTTGTTTAAAAAAAAAAAAGAATTAATTAACTCAATATTGGCGCGAATATTGGGAAATCTATCTATGTCAAAATGTGGGAAACTTGCTGATGTATATAAAGCAGTCACCATTCACTATGTATTATCTCTAGTTTTCATTTCCCCAGGTCCTGCAACTGGAGGAAAAAGAGGATCCGTTTTTTGGACTTCCTGTTGAATGTTCACTTCCGCTTAAAAACAAGTACGACCATTTTTTTATTTTTTGTAACTGCATTGCAATGTAAGTAAGCTTGTGACAAAAGTATTGTAATTGGAAGGGTACTATTTCTGTTATTCGCAGTCCTTGAAAAAATTGCAGTATGTTGAAATCATACAGGCGTTTAAGTCTAGTTCCCTTTTGGACCATTATTATGCCGAGTTATGTAGCACTAGGTGATATATGCTAATCCTGAAGTAGAAATTTAACTTAAATTGTTAAATATTATGTTATTGCAAAAGCACAAGGGTGTGGTAGATCCCCTTGAAGTTATTGCAGGAGAGATATATCATGAATCAATTAACGTATCCGGTAACCGGGGTGTTACATTTTTTTCTTCTCTCGAGAAATCTTTGCTTCAAGGGTGTGGCCTTTCATGAAGCTTAGCAGCTGGTAAGGGATATTACGTTATCTTCTAGTCAAGAACCATCACCTCCGAGCAAATTGACGGATCTTAGGGCACTTAGGGCTTATGAGTTTTCGTTGAATTGTCATAGCAAGCCTATACATTCATCTCAAACCCAAAAAATATGCAGTTCCTAATGTGAACTCCCATTGCACCATTTTTCCTTTCTCCTTCTCTCTAAATCTCTCTCTATGTAGGTATATACGGAATCAATGCTCTTTTTCTATGTGATTCTTTTTTAGTTTTCGTTCCTCGCGAGTCCCTGATGTTCCTTAGAGTCACCATAAATTTTAAACTTCGAGTGACTTCTCTTCTCTCCTTCTCCCTCTCCTCTTGCTCCTTATTCATTCTCCTCATCCTTCTCTTTCTCCTCTCTCCTTCGGGTCACTTTTCCTGCTCCTTTTCCCTATCTTCTTCTCTCCTACTCCTTCTCCTCTTTCTTTTACTTCTGCCTTTTGTTTTCTTCTTGACTTCTCTCCTCCTCTTTCCCCTCCTCTTTCTTCCTCTTTCTCCTTCTCATTTTTTCTCCTTATCCGCTCCTTCTCCTTTTTGTTCCTTCTTCTTCTTTTCCTTGTCCATCTACTTCTTCTCTTTCTCTAGCTCGTTCTCCTTCTCTTTCTACTAAAGCAAAGGAATGATAAATTGAAAATATCAAATGAAAACTTTGGTGTTATATTGGTGAAACTTATAATGATATCTCATGAATTTCAATTGATATCAAGGTAGTAAAAGGTAGTTTGTTACTTTTCTGTTTTATGCTATACGTTAATAAAAACTTTCAGTGGCTTCACACCCCAATCAGAGGAAATGGACATTGTATTTGCCGGCAATTGATATCGGTAACCTTTTTCTTCAAATTGCTGACATTAAAACTAAAAGTAAGTATTACAGCTTTTATTGTCAAATGAAATAGATTTATTTATGAAGATTTTTAACTGGTTATTTTTGCGACCTTGTAAATAAAACGTTGTCAATCGTATAGGGAGGTTGAGTTTGCCAAGTCCACAAAGATTCAAGCTAGTTATAGGCTTCCGGATTTACCACCCTAGTATCATCATATCTGATCCCAATGTCCTAGCTTCGTGTTATGCTGGGTCAGGTTTGGACGCAGTGTTAAGACGTACACCCAAAGGGAGAAGGGACGTTGTCCGAGGACTGGCTTTCCATGATTACAAAATTTCTCCCGTTTGTCAAAAATTTTCAGTTGCCTGATTATTATACGAACAAAAAATTCGCAAAATCACTGAAATTTATGAGGTGTGTCGCTAGTTTTGGAATATCATCCGGTCCATGAGCTACAAAGCCAACATGAGGTTAGAGGGACCCTCCGATACCTAAGTCACTATTGTGATCAATAACCGAATAGACAAGTGTACAAAACTAGGAAAATGGTAAGAATGTGTGTGTGAGGTATGGAGTTGAGAGTTCTCATACCGAGGCCTCTCAAACTTTGGGTCTTCAACCATTTTTATGGAGAAAATGGAGAGCTACTTACCGTTGAGAGGCCATGCTAGGATACGTTGACCACTAAACGGTGGTCCCTAGGTGAGATCGACCACCACGTCTAGTATGCAAAATCCTAGGGGCTTGCGTTGGTTAGCCTGGGTCGACATAACAGTAGTATAGGATTGTGCCGATCTTCATATTGATGGTGCTGACCAGTTCGAACTGATGCCGAGCATGTTTATTTGGTGATTGCTAGGAAGATGCCGCATTTCAAAATACTTCCCAAAGGATAGTGTCCGAGTGAATATAAAATGATCTAAGTGATTGGTGTGAATTTGCACTATTTGAATCGTATAGTCGCCGAAGTGGAATTCCATGTCTCAACAGAATGGCCTTTGATGGTGCTCGTCATTGAAGGGTTCTTGAGGGGTCTGTGAATTGCTACAAGTGGAGCCAATCTTTGGTGATAAACCGATCACCCATTGGCCTTTGACAGATGGATTGAGCACCTTGGGATTGATAGACCTACAAATCTTGGTGAGAGTCTTACCATCTTAGTGCCGAGCATATGGCACCAGAGTGCTAGACCGAGAATGTAATATCTCGTTCCAATTTGGTAAGGAACTAGTTAGAAATATTATCTTATAAGGAATAAGAAAAATTTTAAAGCAGAATTTAGAATAGTCTAGAATAATCTAGAATATTTGAGAAGTTTCTAGAAAAATTTAGAATAATCTAGAAGATTTTAGAAAGTTCAAGAATAACCTAGAATAATCTAGAACAATCTAGAGAAGTTTAGAATATTTTAGAAGGTTCTAGATGGATTTAGAATGTTCCAGAAGGACTTAGAAAGTTGAAGAAAACTTAGAATATTATAGATGAATCTAGATACTTGTGGAAAGTGGAATTGTCATGTGCAAAATAAGCTTAAAACTTAGAAGGATCTAGGAGATAGTAGAATATTCTAGGGAATCTCCCTTAAGAATGTCACATGTCAATATTTTCTAAAATAATCCTAGGATGCCTATAAATAGGGCATTTGAAAATTGGATTAAGATACAAGTGCACAAGTAGTGTTATACTTTCAAGAAAGAATAGAGAGTAAAAGAGAGAAGAAGGAAGGAAGAGCACTTTATCAAAGGAAATTGTGAGAAAAAGGGAAAAGGCATCAATAATATCTCACTCTACTTCGGGTAACAAGCAACACTCAAGAAGCATATCATCTGGACTTGAGGTGAGTGGATTGACATACTACGTATTTTTTTTCGTATCCCTAAACATTTTAAAAATAATACATAATGCTTGTTCATTACTACCTTTATAAAATGTTTTACTAAGTGCCTAAATACTTGTGGCATGCAATTCTCCTTATTTTGATGAATTCTTTTGTGAAGTATTGTGACTCAATCACTTGTTTATATGGTGAGACTTTGTGATAGTGAATGAGATCATAATTGAAAGTTCAGGAAAATTATTCCTCTGTGTGCGGGTGACTCTGACCACTAGGTAACAGATCCGGGGGAGGCTGAGGTGACTCTAGTGCTCAACAGTTGAAGGAACAGTGTCTGGTGCGTCCTGGTGACCTTCACCGGATCGCCTTAGGGAACAGTTCCCGGGCGACAACCCGTGGTCAAGGATCAAAATGTCGTGTCGACACGTCCGAAACGTCCGAAACGTTTTGGAATTTCAACACTCCGAAACGAAACAGTAGTTGAATCACAAAATTCCAGTGTTTCGGTCGAAACGGTACTGTTTCGGACCGTTTCGGTCGAAACGGCATTGTTTCGAACCGTTTTGACAAAACAGTGATATATTCGGTTCATTATGAATAATTACATTTAATACCCCATTATAATTACATTTAATACCCACTGTAATTACATTTAATACTCACTATAATTATATTTAATATCCCACTATAATT